AAAATCGCACATCGTTCGTCAGACCTCTGTCTATATAATTTACAAAGACATTATCCGGCTTGACATCTATAGATATATGTCAACAGGACTGCTAATACATAAGCCGAGTATCTCATGCCATTACCTGCATGTACATAGCCGCCCTCATGGAGACTATTCAGCGCTTTAAGAACACATCTGGAGATGTAGTTAAGTTCTTCTTAGTTCAGAGGCTGCTTCTTTGTGCTTGAAGTAGATCTTCCTCAATGTATTTCAAGACAATAGTAGTTGGCTCAGGCGGATCTTCGATTTCGTCGATTACGGGACGTAAGCAAGACTTTCTGCTCTGAAAGCATTTAAGGACGTCTAGTTCATTCTTCACACGTGGGTGGCCCCGGACGCCCTTAATGATGACGGTCTCGTTGGCTTGATTGCCGATGAGTGAATATGACTCCAAATAACCCGGCTCTTGTGCACTTACTGCGCCAACCAAGTAGTGTCTCGGATCTGCTTTGCGGCCGTATATCTCCCTAACTTGCCTCGAAGACCCTGTCCGATTCGAAAAAGCGGGGACAACATTGAGGTTACATGGACGATGGAACAACATAGTTGTCTGTGCATTGGCTCCATGATCCCTACCATAATCGGAGGTTGGATGTCACATAGCATTCAATTTATGAGCCATTGTACGTTGCTTATCTGAGTCAGCATTGTATTTCAAGTCCCTGTGTCTCAGGTGAGTATAGCTATTTTTATATTTTAATCTCCCTCTCTTCGTTAACTCATCCATATTTAAATATACATTTGATATCTCAGGGGTCGAATGAGTGGTGGTCAACAATTACATCTAGAATATGAGGACCTGTGAAATTAAGGCTGAAAATGACAGCTACTAAGGCCATAAACAGCCGCATTTCCACCTATAAGTTCCCTTAGTAAGCTACTGCTTTAGCACTTAAGCACATGCTACACATAGGGGTGGTATTTAAAATGTTAAAATATCAAAATGTCACAGTTTTTTAAGCGATTTTCTTGACATGAAAAAGTTTGTTATTTTAACCCACTTTTACTAGTAATTTATTAGTGATCTAGGGTATCTAGTGATAAGCTGCCTCCTCCTTAAAATATACTAAAAATTTTAAATAAGAAGTTATTTAATAAAAAGAAATTAACTAGTGCTAGATTTAATCCTATAAGCTTAGTAGTAGTACTAAAAAATAGTAACTAATTAGACTAACTAGGTGCTTATTAAAGTATATATTAATACTTTTAATATATAACCTTTAGTAGGACCTACTCTTTTATATAGGTTATATATAGTTAATATAGGCTATAAAGCTAAGAAGTTAGAAGGCATCTAAGCAGACTAAGCTATAGATATATATATAAAATTACCTTACTAGTAATGACCTTATAGTTAAAATTATTTATAAGAAGATAGGCTTCTAGAGCTTATATTATATTATATTTAAAGTCTCTTAAAGATATATATTTTAACTACTAATATAGTATTACTACCCTATTTCTATGTTATTAAAAGTTAGATAACTAAGGTAGATTAGATAAAGAAAGCTAGCCTTCTAATTAGCTATAATAGGTATCTACTTTTATTATATGCTTTTTATCTATGGACATAAAAAAAACAGGAAAATATTTGATATTTTGATATTTTCTGAAATTTTTGTCAGACACCACCCCTAGCTACACACTACTATTCTGCACCCACTAAGCACTGTTTAGTCACCATCCTAAGGTGCCAAACCTCAGTGAGCACCTACTCTATTTCAACTTATGACAAGAAGTAATACTAATAATGGCCTCCTCTATAGCTAGATCTAGCTCCCTTAAATTTAATAAGATTACTTATATACTATATAAAATAGCATACATCCTCACTCCTTCCTTTTACCCCCTGGCACTTTCACACCCTCCATGTTAATCGGAATCCACAAAGTTAATCGCTATTCAAATCTAACACTGAAAGTTATAAAGATGTTAACTCTGATAATAAAAACTAGGATATTCCTATTCCAGAATACATCTTTCCCAAGTAAGCATGACTTATGGAGAATTTCTATGGCCCTGAAGCAGAGTGTTTTAATATAGATAAGCTACTCACATGACATATCTAGGTTACTAAGGACATGGTTATGCTCTTAAAGCTCTGTAAACCAAGTTAGTGAGATAACCAAATCAACTGGGCTGTAAGTGATGATGCTAAGGCTAATGGACTTAAATATGAAGAGTTAGATGAATCACCACCTTCTAGAGAGGAATCCCTGGATTGCCTAACAGATGTTTACATTATCTATTGCAGTTTATCATGTTATTTAGCATCTAACCCACCTCCACATAAATTCCCATCTAAGCAAAAAGATTCACTCCATCACTATCTCATTAATGTTCATCTCACCCATGCGCATGAGGGGATTAGCTATACCTGGGTGGCCTGCTGCAATGTCCCTAAGTTCATAAAGGCTACTAAATTCTTGGCGCATGCTGTTAACATGCACTTATATAATATCTAAATTAAATTAAAACATCTCCTAATAAAACCTCTGTTAACTTGCAGTGATACTTCCTCTATTAACAGTACAGATGCTTCTCTAGAATTAAGTGGGTAGTCAGGCACTAGCACTCCCACTTCCTCTGTCAGCCCTGTGAGTGTGACAGCAAGTATTGACCCACGCTTGCTAGAACTCAACCAAGCTACCATTACAGAGCCACCACCTCATTGCTCAAAGAGGCTTCGACACCAATAATCACATGCAAGGATGTCTAGTATGCAGTCATTACAACCTAAGTACAATGTTCCACTAAAGCCTAGCTTTGCATATTTTTTTAATGTATATTTGTGGCGTCTACCCTTGTATATAGCTGGTTTCCTACCTGCCAAATGCGCCTGATATGTTTTTGAGTTACTCCCACTTAGCAGTATAAGCATCCGTTGCATGATTCACAGGCCTGGAGAAGCCCGGGTGCAGCTTTCTCCGTACTTCAGCCACAACCACGCCGCTAATATTATATTGATTGACCAGTTGTTCCGCTGTAGGACAATGGATGTTTAGTATCTGACAGAGAATCTTTGCCGGTCCCACAGTGAGCAAAAATAACAGCTACATGAGAGGAAGCTCGTTATGCTCACTTGGTAAGAGGTTGAAGTCATATATTGGTGTCTGAAATATAGCAGTTATCGCGTGGTGCTGTTTGGACAATGAGCACAAGAGCTACATTATACGTGAGCCTATGCCGCCTATGCTAAACGGACTTATACCTGGTTTTTACCGCTTGGGCGTTCTATATTAATGTTGATTCGCCCGCTCGGGTTTGCTCGCCGGTTGTTTCGGTACTAGCCACCTGCTCTCAGGCCATCGGTTTTTCCCGCTTCAAGTTACCTCGCATGTCCAGAAACGAGGATGGGTTGAACTATGAATAGTAGTAGCCAGGGCATTATTGCATACGATGATTGCAGGGATATGCCTACCCGATTGAGAACCCTATCGATCACCTCTCGGTCGTGAACATCTACTTTGAATCGTAGCCGCCGCAGCAACTGGTCGTACACATCAATCTGTTCTTCAAGTTCTACAACGCGTCTGCATATTGTTACTCGAGGGACCAACAGCCGGGTTGAAGGACCTGCCTTTTGATTCTGTCTTCCTTCCTCTCGGCGTACTCGCAAGCGGCATCGAAAAGGACACATTGATGACATGGTTGGTGGCCGTGGAGCAGCAGATGCATGTTTGTGACTAGTATGCTGAGGCGTGCATTTACATGAAAATAAGACTATATGTATGTTTGTGACTAGTATGCTAAGGTGTGCATTTACATGAAAATAAGACTATATGCATGTTTGTGACTAGTATGCTAAGGTGTGCATTTACATGAAAATAAGACTATATGCATGTTTGTGACTAGTATGCTGAGGCATACATTTACATAAAAGTAAGACTATATGCATGTTTGTGACTAGTATATCAAGGCATGCATTTGCATGAAATCAGACTACCATAGAGAGCACACTTGTAGCCTACATGCGCCTCAGGATTGCCTTCTTTGTTGTCTACCTGCATGCCCTCAGAGTTGAATACAATTCCGTCTTCCTAGGAAGAAATGGTCGTTCTCAAAATCAGTTTTACAATTACACTCTTTGTCACTCTTTTCTAGCCCCGGCCCAAGCTCTTAGCGCAGATCAATCATTGAGCAGGCCTCATTCAATTGAGAGACGCCGTAAAATGAATGTACTTTGCATGGTACTGTACCTTGCCGTGTAATATTACGCTCTGCGTAGGACATGATATCCTGTAACTTCGATTTTCCTCCTCTTGTCTGACTGATAAATGATTGACGCGTGTGACTGGTGATCAACAAGGCCACTAGTTTGCACTATGTACTCCGTACCACGTCCAGCAACGCCACACAAAGGCAGCCCTCTTCAGGAGCGCCAAGCTCTGTACAATCGCACCACTCACATCAGAGGGGATGGGTGATACATCTAAGAGTACCCAGAATTCTGAAATCTACTATGAGGGACTTTTTGTACAAAGAAAACCGAGCTATCAACCTTGTAATTAGCATGCTCGAGGTGCATTCCTACATTAGGTAGTGTAACGTCCACGCAAAAGCTGATCTCTAGAACTATAGATGATTACGTCTGAGGTGCATTCCTACATGATGTAGTGTAACGTTAGTTAGTTAACTAGAGTCAGAAAATTGATATGTCACTGCAATGATACGTCTATGCGTACACAGTATTCGTTCAAGTTCAATTTTCTATGTACGATAGTCTCACTGCCATTTCGTTCAGTGTAACACAGTACTACCTACTATCTGTCGGCGGGGCCTTTACTGAGTTGTTAGACACGCATCGGGTTAGATGGCGGCCCAACAGTCTCGAGCAACATTTTCCCCAGTGGGTATAAATAGTTAGCTGGTTAGTCTCAGGAAGAGACTTGCTTATCACCATCTCAGGCACAACCCATACTCACAAAGATTTTCCTTCGAATGTGAGACGCTCAGTCATGACTATCCACCCACAAAATCACGACCTGCCCACAGGATCCGCTATGAAGGCAGCACCATTCGAAGCCCTAGATCTTGTTTTTCATTTTGAGGACCAAGCGCAGCGTCAGTGGTGGAAACAAGCAGGCCCTGTCCTAGGACAGCACCTCCTGCTTGCCAACTACGATATCAACAAGCAATACCAGTACTTATGCTTCTTTGGGCATCACATTATACCTATTTTGGGTCCTGGACCAGGCAGCGGCTACGATTATCATCCACTGGAAATAAGCCAAAATTTCCAGAGGTCAGGAAGCACCATACGTCTCGGATTCCAGCCCAGGGCCTACTCCAGCTGTGTGAGCCCTCAGGACCCCTTCGGCGAGCTATCGACCGAAGAGGCGATGGCCAGGCTTGGCCAAGTGACTGGCGTTGAGGTGGACTTACAGCCGTACCACCTGCTTGCAAGTCACCTCAATTTAACTAAGAAAGAGGAAAAAGAGATGTTGCAACCTACCTGCTACAATAGTCTATCACCTTCTTTCAAGACCCAGGGTTTACTTGCCGTGGAGCTCCCCCGTACTGGCAGCATAACACTGAAAGGATATTGGTTCCTATCAGCAAAGTCCATGGTCACCAAAACCCCAATCTCTGAACTTTCCTTTCAGGCGTTTCGGAATATTGATGATGGAAAAGACTTGTTGATACCTGCTTTACGTCCTATTGAAGAATACTTTGCAGAAATTAAGATGAAACCTGCAAACCCCACTGCACCCCAGACAACCGAATTTGCCACCGTGGCTTGTGATCACGTTGATATGTCCCGAACTCGATTCAAGCTCTATCTTTATGAGTGCTTGTGGAAATATGACCGGCTTGCTGATATTTACACGCTGGGGGGCCGACTCAAGAACGCCCCTGGTATTGCTGAGGGGCTAGAGCTACTGCGTGAGATATGGTCTATTCTTCAGATTCCCGAAGGGTATCATTTTGCGTCCCTTCAAAATTCCCTCTTGAGGAAAAGCACGAACGCCGAATCTTGCGGTGAAGCTAGCAAATCAGCATCTGAGGAGCGTGAATTTTTCGATGACCAAGCGCTGATTTTCAACTTTGAGATCCGTCCTGGAGAAATATGGCCGCAGCCGAAGGTATACTTTCCTCTAGCATACCTGACTGACAGCAAAGCCGCCGATGCAGTAGTGGCTTTATTTGAAAAGCTTGGATGGAAAGAGGAGGCACGCAGATACAAGGATAATTTAAAAACATACTAGTAAGTTATTACCCTCAATGGGTGGATAAAGGTTCATCCACCGCTAATCTTGACGGCGATAGCCCTAGGTGTGATTTTGACAAAACATCCGGGTTGCAGCATGTTCTATCTTTCTCATATCGTCCTAAAACTGGCCCTTATACAACAGTGTACTACTGGAAAATTGGTGCTTAGTTGCGATTGAATGGACTTCACTCAGATATGTAATCATGCTTGCATGTATGTTGTGGAACAATTCTCCTTTGAACAGGAATCAGATTATTTTGTTGTCACATTTGGCCTTTTTTTGTCTGCATCCCAGGCATGCTCTCTTAGCACGGCGGGCTTCGTTCCATGACTGGGGGCGCGCAATTCGAGGAATAGCAACCTTGGAATTTGTAGGACTCAAGCGAGTCGAATTGCATGTCTGTTCGAGTGGATGATGATGCATTCCTAAATTGTTCCTCTAGCTTGAGCATACCTCTGTAGGATACTGAAGGCGAAGTCGATTTCAAAGGCTCTTTCTCCATTGTCGGCAGGCTGGAAGTAAAATTAGTGGAAGGGTAAACGGTTGCGCTACTATGTCAAAGAGTTTGAGTAAATATTGACTTGTTTCGTGTATGTCTTTGCAGTACACTCCCGGTTCCCCACAGCGTTTGTGTGGATACGCTGAGGTGGACCGTGGACCAGTAAGTGGGTAAAGTCACGTGACACTTGGCGAACTGTCTCATGAGCACTGGACTAGACTGGCTGTGGGGTGGATATGGGTTGACCCACAGCATGTCTGATCTAACCCACATGGATTATGGGTAAACCACTAGGTATCTCACCCACCCCTTATATCCACAGGGGTTTAACTATGGATACTATGGATATCTATACTATCTAGTTAGGTAACCTCTAGTATTCAGATTACCCCCTTTTTTTAGTATTCTAGCCACACCATTACTATAATCCTAGAGTAGTACTCTAGATTCTTTAATCCTAATAAGAATTAGATATAATATAGAGTAACCTCTCCTATATTATTATTACTTTTATCTCTATATTTAACTATATTAAGCTATGCTATCACTATTATTATAGTTTAACTAGTAATAAGTAGACTATTATAGTAGGTTTTTTATTACCTTAGTATTAATATTATAGTATATTACTAATAATAACTTAAGATAATATATCTACTTATTAGACTTTTTATACTACTTATTAGAGTAAGCTTAGTTTACTATAGGCCCCTAATCTTAATACTAGTAAGGTAAAGTAGAAATATTATTATAGCTAGTAGTTACTATATCTAATCCTAGGTAATAATAGTTATATAACCTAGGTTACTATCTAATATTATTTTTTTAATATAGTTTACTATATCATTACTTACTATTATAGTAATAATAATCCTAATAGAATTTCTTATCTAGTAGATATTAAGAATACTTTTCCCCTTATTCTTAAAGAAATTTAAGAAGATTATTAGATATTAATAATACCCTTATACTTTAATAATAATCTTTTATTATACCTAGCTTTTCCTAATATAGCTATATTAGATAGAATAGATAATTTTACTTTATATCTCTTATACTTCTGAATAACTCCCTAAATATTTATTATATTGTGATATTAACTGTGGGCATATGGCTTCAGAGAAGCTATATCAGGTGTGCAATAATATCTAATAACTAATATTATTATTTATATAGTTAGTTAGACCTTACATTTATTCTTAGCTTAGGTTGAAATATAAAAGATAGCTAGAATCTCTTAAAGTAAAGAAGATATATATAGAGTAGCTACTAATCTATCCCTTATCCTTATACTCTTTAAAGACTCTATATCCTTAATAATAATAAATATCCTATCTAGTAGTATATCTAGATTAAGTAAATATATAATACTTAATTCCTAGGAAGGTTTAAAACCTCTTATAAAGAATTAATCTAAATTATAGTAGCCTTAGTYTACTAACCCTTAGAAATATTATTAATAATTTAACTTTAATAAAATCCCTTATATTAATTATCCCTAATTTAATAGAAAATACCTTAGATTAATAGTTTTTAACCTTCTTAGACTAATTAAGATACCTAAGAGGGTGATAATTTATTATTAGAATATTCTTATTAACTCTTCCCTATAGTAATATCATAAGTTATAGATATTATAGGCTATTAGAGTCTTTTAAATAGTAATAAATATAGGATTAATAATTAGACCTTAAAGAAAGATAAATTAGGAGTTACTAAAGTTATTTTAATAAGTTTAAATTAATATTAATAATTATTAATCTAACTTCTACTCTTAATTAGATATTATTCTTTACTTAATAAAATAGATAATATTAAATYTATATCTTCTAGTATAGAGAYCCCTTAAACCTAGRCTATTAATTATARTAATARCTTTAAGATARAATATCTTTAACTCTAATAGTARTTTACTCTTACTACCTAGGGTATAAATAAAGATACCTAGGCTAAGCTAATCTAGCTATATAAATAGTTAGTTAAACTTCTCTAAGACTAGTATAACTATCTAGATTATACTAATATAGATAGAACTATAGAAGCTATAAATACTACTTCTAATTCTATAGTTTTCCTTACTATTCTTCCTAAAGTACTTAAGCTATATTAGAAGATTTCTAACCTTAAACTAATTTCTATATATAATAGTAAGTATAGTAAGGATGCTGTAATAAAGTAGCTATAATAGATTAATAAATACTTTTATAATAAGTAAACTCTTATTTAGAAGAAAGCTACTAAACTTAAAAAGATTATAGTAGTTAAGTATTATCTTATAAGGTAGGCTAAAGAGTAATAAAATACTTATAAGTAGAAGGCTAAATATAATCTAATAGCTATTATAACTATCTTAGATACTTTTAAATAGTAGGTCTAAGACTATTTTAGAGAAATTAGAGAAGAGAATAAATATTAGGAAGAATATAAGAGATATACTTAAGAAAATTAAATTATATAATTCTATACTACTTCCTTAATTAAAGCTACTAAATACATTAAATCTAGAATTCCTAATAATATATTAATCTAGAAGTTTATTACTAATTTAAAGCTAGTTCTGTATGCTTACTAGATAGAAAATTATAATAAACTAACTACTTTTAATAATATAGTTTATTATTTTACTAAGTATAAATAGGGAGTAGCCTTATATACTTAGGTCTAGCTTTAATTCTTTAGAGAAATTAATAATTATTAAATAGATTTAATAAATATTAATTTAAATACTATTACTACATCCCCTAATTAACCTAAGAAGGAAATATATAAATAAAAGGTATAGTATTAAACTAATTAAGCTTATTTTAATTATAGATAGAAAGGCTATAATATCTAAGCTTATACTATACTAAACTAGCTATAATCTAATTATAAGAAGTAGTTAGGAAATATAATAGACTATTAGATATAGAAGTACTAGTTAGTTAACTATTATAGGCTTCTAAAGTTAAGAAATATAAAGTATTTAATAATCTTAAACTACTAAAGGATTATAATAATTCTAATAATAATAGTAATAAGGAAAATTAGCTACTATAAGAAGGACTATCTAATATAATAGAAATAGATTTAGAGCTAGAAGACTATAATAATATTAATACTTATTTAAATACTCTTAGATCTAATATTCTCTATTTCCTTACTATACTTAAAGCTTCTTAGATAGTAATCTATCTCTAAGTACTATTAGACTATAGCTCTAGTTATATATTTATTTTAAAATATCTAGCTAATTTATTACCTTCTTTATAGTTTTAATTTTAATAAATATCTAAATAACTACAGATTTATCTACTAAATAGTAGATTTATATATATATTATATTAAGTTTAAATTCTACTTAAATTAGGTAATTAGTACTATATTATCACTCCCTAGGTCCTTAAAATAATAGAGTATAATATTATCTTAGATTAAAACTAGCTAAAATACTTTAACCCTAATATTAATTAGGTTATAGGAAGGATGGTTATTAAAGAATATAGAATAAAATATATAACTATCTACCCTATTAATTTAAGAACTTAAATTAAGATTAATAAGGAAATATCTCTTAATTTTATCTTTATAAAATAGCTTTAATATACTCTTTAGAAGGGTTAATAAGAAGCTTAGTTATATATTATTTAAGAATAAAAGAGAAGTAAAGAAGTATTAACTAATCTATAATAATTAAGTTCTCTTCTAGCTTAGTATAAAGATATATTTAGAGAAGAGTTAGTTATAGGAATATCTTTAGTTTAATTATTAGAATATTATATTAATATAGAAGATTTACTACTAATTAATATTAACTCTTATCCTTAGTTACTAGAGAAATTTAGTAAAATAAAAAGATAAGTTAAAGAGCTTTTAAAGAAAGTAGTTATTTATCTATTAATTAGTACTTAGGGCTTTTCTATTATAATTATYCTAAAGCTAGATAGAAAGTAATAATTTTATATTAACTACTACTTACTTAATAAGGTAACTATAAAGAATATCTATCTATTATTAAGAATTTAAGAACTCCTAGATTAAGTAGATTAAGCTAAGTATCTTTTAAAGCTTAATCTTCTCTCTAGTTATTAGTAATTATAAATAGGTAAATTATTAATTTTAAAGATAGCTTTTAATATATTATTTAGTAAATTTAAGTAGTTAGTAATACTATTTAGACTTTATAATACTTTTATATTATTCTAGATAATAATAAATAGTATTATATAAGACCTTAACTTTATAGTAGTATATCTTAATAATATCTTAATCTTCTTAGACTTAGAAAAGGAATATTAGAAGCATATTTAATAAGTACTTAACTAACTCTAAGAATATTAGTTATATATAAAACTCTCTAAGTATATATTTACTAAGAGAGAAATATAATTTTATAGCTATATTATTAGTAATAGACTAGTTTAACTAATGCCTATAAAGATTAAGGTTATAAAGATATAATTAAAACTAATAAATATTTATAAAGTTTAATTATTCTTAGGACTAGCTATATACT